CGCTGCGGGACTCGGGGCTCGGTGGTGCACCAGTCCGCTCGCCTGCGCCAGTCTCCGAAGGGAGGGGAGAGGAAGGAAGCCCTCCGGGAGGAAACTAGAGACGTTTTGAGTGAGGGGGCTTTAGCTCTTCTCGAGGAGAGGCGGGGAGGCCTGGTGGGTGTGGGCGGGAGGAGGAGGAGGAGGAGGAGTTCCAGGAAGCCTGGAGGTAGAGGTGACCCCAAGACGGCAAGGTAAACATGGAACTGTCAGTAAACTGCGATTACAAAGAAGCCTATAGATGGAAGAGAGACACAAGCCTTTAGCCCTCTCCAAATGTTGTAGAAGGACTCGACTTGGGAAATAAATATAAAAGGAGGTGGAAAGGCGAAGATACTCTGGCAGGCCAGGAAGTCTGTGGCCAGAGGTTATGCCATAAAAGCTGCACATATGATTAAGACCCATTATATGAAAAAGGTTCAGAGGGATTTAATATATTTAGATTGGGAATATTTTGAATGTACAGTAGTAATAATAACGTGAAGCTTCTGGCTAAAGCATTCCTCCCACCAAAAAAAGTAAGAGCAATATTCAGATTAGGCATCCTTCAGTATTGAGAGACTATGGAAACCTGCTCTGAATAGAGGACTTGGAACAGCATCTGGTGTGGCTGAGAGGGCCAATTCAAGGGTGACACGTCCCTTCCACACTCAAGACAGATCCAGTCTGTCCCCTGTCCCGCTCCCTGGTTTTGCTGGTTTCGTGACTGTGTCTTTGCCTCAGCCTGCTGGACAAGGGTCTCTTCAAATTGGGAGAGGCCGTGATGCACCGCCTTCCTCCAGGCTGAATGCTCAGAGGTCAGGGTTTCCCATCTGTTGAGGCCCATTCCTAAGGCCTTCAGATCCCGCTTGCAGATCTCCTTGTATCGCAGCTGTGGTCTCCCTCTGGGGTGATTTCCCTGTACTAATTCTCCATACAGGTGATCTGACAATGTAGATGCCACTGTTTCAGTAATGTATACATGCTAAATATTCCAGCTCATTCTAGGACTACTCTATTTGGAACTTTGTCCTGCCAGGTGATACCAAAAATGTGTCAGAGACAACGCATATGGAAGGTGTTCAGCTTCCTCTCCTGCCATGCACAAAGGGTCCAGGACTCACTGCAGTATAGGAGTGTGCTCAGGACACAAGATGTATAGACCTGGATCTTAGTCTATGCTGTCAGCTTCTTATTAGACCATACTCTCTTTGTGATCTCTAGACTCACAAGAGTAATATAGGAGATATAAAAAAAACATAATGGGGATAGATGCAATAAAATGAAAGAAAAACTAGAAGCTCTTTAAAATATATATAAAGACCCATATACAAGTAAGAATCCTTCTATAGGAAAAACAGAATATTGTATATGAAAAAGAATTTTAAGAAAGTAGTAAAATATGAGGCTAAAGAAACAATGGAGAGAATAATTACTGAGGAAGAGATAGAAGTTATTATAAATAAGTTAAAGGTAGGGAAGACATCTGGCACACACGGATTAGGTTCAGAGTAATATAAAACTTTCAAAAAATTCTTATCCCAAAATTAAAGGATCTATACAATGGTGTATTCTATTCAGTGGAGAAGAAATTCCCCAGTCCTGGAAGGAATCATTAATAGTTTTAATTTTGAAACTGGGTAAAAACCCTACGAATATAGACTCTTACAGGGTGATTTTACTGATAAATCAAGATGCTAAAATAATCATAGCAATTATGGCAGCAAGATTAAACAATTTTATAGAGAAATATAATGAAAAAGATCAAAATGGATTCATACAAGGTAGATGTCAGATACAATTAGGAAGGTGCTTGATCTAATGCACCTGGCAAAAAAAATATAAAGCAGGAGTGGTATCCCTATACATTTTTAAAGCCTTTGATCCAGTTGAATGGGATGCATTAAAAATCCTGATTAAATAGGTAGGGTTTGGTACCCATTTTAGACAAAAAATCCAACAACTATATTCACAGAACTCTGCAAAAATAATAATAAATGATGGTATGACTGAATCAATATTCCTAGGCTGAGGAACGAGAGAGGGTTGGCCCTTATCTCCAATTCTATTTACAGTACATTGGTTATATAGGTACTGGCACAAGTAATCAGAAACAATAGTTCACCCTAATTTAATAATTAAAAATCCAAAAGATACATTACAGAAAATCAGAACACATTTAAATTTATTTGAAGAAATAACTGGTTTGAAAGTGAACTGGGAGAAATCCAAATATCTTTTATTAAATCATTCAGAAGTAGATAAGAAGGAGTTGAAAAAAGAATGTAAAGAAAGAATAGAGAGTGTAATTAAATACATCGGCATTTATATTACAGTACATGGAATTTAGAAGAAATAATTAAATAAATATGGATAAATTGGAGAAAGGAATTAACAAACAGATAAATCAGTATTAAAAATTAAAATTGTTATGTTTTGGTAGAATAGCATTATGTAAAATGAAGATTATCCCTAAACTTAACTTTGTATTTTGGATGCTTCCAATAAAGATGGGAGAAACATATGTGAAAGATTGGCATAAGCTGACAAATAATTATTGTAATGGAAACAAGCAAACAAGGATCAATAAAAGGCTATGGACTGTTCCACAAAAAGAAGGAGGGCTTGGACTACCTAATATTAAATCATATTACATTGCAAATCAGCTTAGACATTAATACCAGATATTATTGTACACAATAGAAACCTAATATAGAAGGGAATGGAAATGCCAGAATACTCTGATAGATTGGAGGGCTTCTTTTTTAAAGAAAAAATTGCAGAGGAAATTGAATAACTAAAACAGTCAACATTCTAATGCCCTTGTACAAAACGCTGGCAAGGCTCAACCTGGAGTATTGCGTACAGTTCTGGTCACCGCACCTCAAAAAAACCATGGTGGAACTGGAAAAGGTGCAGAAGAGAGTGACTCAAAGGGTGACAGGGCTGGGGCACCTCCCTGATGAGGAAAGGCAACAGCGTTTGGGGCTCTTGAGTCTAGAGAAAAGGCGCCTGAGGGGGGGGACATGATGGAGATGTATACTATTCTGCATGGCATGGATCAAGTGGATAGAGGGAAGCTCTTTTCCTTCTCATGCAATACAAGAATCAGGGGACATCCACTCCAATGGAGCGTTGGGAGAGTGAGAACAGACCAAAGAAAACCTTTCTTGACCCAGCCTGTGATTAGTCTGTGGAACTCCTTGACACAGGATGAGGTGAGGGCATCTGGCCTACATGGCTTTAAAAGGGGATCAGACAGATTCCTGGAGGAAAAGGCCATCACAGTTTACAAGCCATGATGGGGAGGAATAATCTCCAGGTTTAGAAGGAAGAGACCACCAAAGGCCAGAGACAGGGGAGGGGGATCAGGAGACAGGTCTCTAGTTGTCTCGTGTGCTCCCAGAGGCATCTGGTGGGACCATTGTGAGATTTTGGAAGCTGGGCTAGAGGGGCCCTTGGCCTGATCCAGCAGGGCTCTTCTTAATTTCTTTCTGACAAATTTGGTAGAGTACTGGAATGATGATAGATATATATAGAGCCCAACTATTTCACCTATTAGAAGTAGTGGAGTCCCGGAGTTTCCCCAAAACTCTTAAAACTAAACTTTTTTTCACATTATATTATAGCTTGCTCATAACAGACAATCTCCATTTACGTTGAATAATATTTTACATTAAGTATATTAACTTTTACTCTCTGGATTTTCTGCGTCCCCTATTCTTCCTTTGTTCTTTTGGAATTGCTTCTTGTTTTCCTTTTTCCTGTTTTTCTTCATCCTGTTGTTTTTCTTGTTCATCTTGATCTTGTTGTTCTTCTTGTTCTTCCTCCTCCTTGTCGCTCTCAATCGAATCTCGCTCCATTGTTTCCTCTTCCTCAGATTCCTGACTTGGCCCTGGTCTCTCCAACTACTTCATTTGCTCCTCCCATTCTTTTTTGTTAATACTGTATTCCTGAGT